TTTTTCCCCCCCCCCCCCTAGAAAGTTAATCGATTTTTTTGCCCCCCCCCCCCCCCCCCAGAAAGTTTTCTGCGGGCGTCCATGGGTAGAACATATTCTTTAGTGGGCTATTAATAATTTTTTTAATGGTATAATGGCCTTTTCATTAATTTGGCTAACTTAGGGTAGCATGTATTTGATAACATTAGGGTATCACATATTCTTTAGCAAATTATGACATATAATTAGAGTATCACATAATCTTGTGCAGGGTATCACATAATGATCAGTAGGGTAACACATACTCTTTAGTAGGATGACACATTCTCTAGCTAGGTATTTATTACGATATAGCTATAGTAGAGTATAACATTTTATTTAGTAAAGAATAACTAGCAGGCCATCACACATACTTATAGAGGAAATCACACATTTTCTAACAAAGGATAACATTTATTTAGTAGTGCGTCAAATTCAAATATTGTTTAGCAGAGTTCATCATGTTCTATATTTGAGTATTACACATTCCTTAGCATAATATCACATTAATTAGGTATAAGTGGATACGTTGTCCAAACTGTATATTTGCCTAAAGCCCAGTAATGTCACTAACGTATTATCCACGGATATATCGGGATTTCATCCCCTTGGACTGCTTTACAGTATCACTTTTCTTGTGATAATTTCATCACTTCACCACCGCATGCGCCTATTAATTCGTAACATAAATATCTAAATACCCGAATGACCAACTCATGTCTGTTAGAACAGCAGAGACGTTAGTGACAGGATGATCCATACTTACAACAATCAAGTCTTTGATGACACGCCTGACTTTGTTTCAACATGAAATGTCTGAATTTAATATCGAGTCTTACTGGCAACAGCAGGCCCTTTGTTTATCTGAATATCAGATTCACCGGAGCATTCATTTCATTGAACTCCTTCATTAAACATATTTTGAACAAATGTTACCTTTACAAACCAGCCTCGTTTTTTTTTTGTGTTTTCCAAGTGACGCTGATAATAAGCGTGGGGACACCCTATGAACTCATCCATGGACGGGACAGTTAGACTTGAAGCTTGGCACATTGATGTAACGGGACTGTTAGACTTGAAGCTTGGCACATTGATGTAACGGGACTGTTAGACTTGAAGCTTGGCACATTGATGTACGTATGTCTTGATTGTACTTGCATACGGTCCTCACTTAATTTTATAATTCATAGATTCTCTAATCATGACCGGTTATGCGGTTGTGTATGCCATATCAACAACTTAAACGACTTTCATGTAAAACTTCAAAGGCCTGTCAGGTAGATGCACCCGTCTGAACAAAATCAAGACCTGACTGACTGAAATATGCAGCCGTCTCAACATATTAATCGTCTGACTGATATAATCATAAAGACTTAAAACTTCCATTCCTCAAGACTTTAAAAAAGTTTATAAAGTTTATTTATATTGATATAATTTAATTATTCGGATCAAAAGAAAACTGAATATGACTTCACAATCATGAATTACAGCAACCAGCTTAGTCGTAATGATCTTTCAGTAATTATTACACAAATCATTATTTGACATTTAGAATTATCACGTACATTATGTCATTCGACTTGCTGGCTTCATTGTTAATTACCTAACTCTTCCGCCTCGGTGACTTTAGGGAAGGGAGTTGGGGGGTAGGTGAGGAGAGTGGTGTATAAGCTTATTATAAAACGCATTTCCTAATTCACTCAGCAGAGGAAAGGCAACATTAAATACAATTATTCTTTTTTTTTTTTTGTAACTCTTAACTTACTCATGTACCCAGTGCCGACCCGATGGTTTCTACGATAAATAAATTAAAGCATAATTAACAACAACTTTCGTTTAAAATCTCCCCATTAAATTGTGGTCTGTGCTATCAATAAGTGCGAACCTGGCATCCAGCAAGTGTAGCGGTGATTTAGTTCACAAAAGAAAAAAAACAACAAAAAAACAAACTAATAACTGTAAAGGAATGAGGATGACCTCTTGATTGATCTCCAATGTAAAATTAATTAATAGCCCAAGCCCTTGTGAAATTATTTCTAGAACTAAAGAATAAGATTAAGTGTACTAGGTGTTATTTATTTATCAACAGAGCGATGTGGAACAGTCCAGAATCTTTGTGTTAGGAGTTTGGACTGAAATCTCTGGTTAATAAATGCATGACGTCATTGTTGTTAGATTTATTTTTGATAAAGTATAATATAGATAATTCTCATCTGCTCTAATGGAGAATTCATTGAATAATATTGAACACATTTTATAATGCGATAAGATAAGATACTTTTATTTAGCCAAAATATGAAACTCTTTTTTTTAAAACAATTTTCATAAACATTTTTGGCACATGCATAAATATTCTTACAAAGTCTGACATTTTCAGAATTTTAAAATTTAACACAAGGCATCTTCAAGTAATTTCTAAGGCGCAGAACTGAGCCGTCACATGCCATGGAACTCCTTTACTCAATTAGTGACAATGTACGGCCGCGGAGAAGGCTTGCAATCCCTGCTAATATAGAGGAATTATTTAATGTTCTCGAATTACAAGTATAACAACCAAGTCTCGTTCGAATGAGATAAGCGATGACGTATTATTTCAGACTGGTTTTACCATGAAATCTTGAATCATATATGATAAATGATAAATGATGAAATCTTGCTTCAGACATGAACTCTTAATTCAAAAATGATAAGTCATGAAATCTTCATCCATACATGATCAGTGATTAACTCTTGCTTCAGACACAATAAATCATGAACTCTTCATCCATACATGATCAGTGATTAACTCTTGCTTCAGACACAATAAATCATGAACTCTTCATTCATACATGATCAGTGATTAACTCTTGCTTCAGACACAATAAATTATGAACTCTTCATCCATACATGATCAGTGATTAACTCTTGCTTCAGACACAATAAATCATGGACTCTTTATTCAGACAATATCAGTGATTCGCTCTTACTTCAGACGTAACAATTCATGATCTCTCATTCCAGAGCTACCAAATTCAATAATTTTATTCAGACATGATAAGTGATGAACTCTTATTCATATTCATTCAAGTGGCTGGTGTTTGCATTGCCGGGCTGGTTGGGTTTCTTGGCGTCGTCTCCAACGTGATCAACATCGTCATCTTCGTTAAAATTGGTTTCTCCGACACCACCAACTTATCGCTTCTGGCTCTGGCTGTGGCAGACGTAAGCGTTTCTTTGCCCATGATCGGTTACAGCTTCATCAATGTCCCTTTTGTTTTCTCGCTACTCGGGGAATCGCTAAGGGTCGCGATTTACGCTGTTTTAGGTTCTATCCAAATTGTGTTTTGTCGGATAAGCGGTCTGTTAACGGCGTTCCTCGCCCTGGAGCGGTTTTTCTGCGTGGCGTGGCCATTGCGTGTCAAAACACTGGTCACACCCAAGTTGACCGTTTGGGTTATCATCAGTATCACTGCTATCATGACATCAAGTGACGTTCCGTATGCCCTTGCCAATCTCATCGGCCCCATATACGACCCGCTGTTAAACGAGACTGTGTACGGGACTGTCTTCATTCCTTACAGTGAATGTTTCGAGGCCATCACTGTCATCATCCAGGTGCTGGCCCAGATGACGTCTTTCGTCGTCGTCTCCGTGTCCACTCTGGGTTTGATCAGGTCACTGCGTACAATTTCCCAGTGGAGGAAGTCCACGTCTTCGGTCAGCCTCCCTGCTCACGTGTCCAGACGGGAAAAACAACTGGTCAAGATGGTCATCCTGATCTCAACGGTTTTCATCGTCTGCTCGCTGCCCACGGTTGTCGGCAACTTGGCGATGGTTTTCGTTGAAGACTTCAACGACCGGGGCCCAAACAGGAACATGTTCATACTGGCGAGCTCAGTATTCGTTATCTTAAACTCCATCAACTCCATGATCAACATTTTTGTCTACGTCAACATGAGCTCCAGGTTTAGAAAAACTTTTTTTGCTTTGTTTAAATTCAATTGATGGTGGTCTTATTTCAAGAAGTGATCTTTTATTCACAATTGCACCCTATATTGTTGTATTAGGGCTGTCTGTCCGTGTTCACAGTGGTTGCTAAAATAACAAGAAAAAAAGTAAATTACAGATAGAGACTGCATTTAGGTAAGGTAAAAAGGAAATAAGCGAAAAAAGTATGGGAAAATTTGAAAAAAATGACGCAACAAAACAACGAACGTTTCAGCAAGATGTCTTCTTCAGAGAACAAACAACTAAATAAAATAAATACATTTACAACCCTCCAAAAAAAAAGCACTTAGCTGATATGTAGTACCCGAGAGGACAGGAAGAGGAATGTGGTAGAACATTTGTCATTGTGAGAGTTGATACAGTCTGACGGAAGAGGGGAAAAGTAAGACCATTGCGATGGGTCGTAACATTTAGAGGGGCTAAACAAAATCTCACTGTCCTTACATTCACTTAAAATAGCGTGAAATTCCTCGGGATAACTTATCTATCTATAACTAATACAAAATAATGTGAAGAAGAAATCGCATAATATTTTTGAGGACCCATAAGAACTCTGGCTATGTGTTATGGTAATATAAAAAAAGGCCTACACATGTCGTGCTTTATTTCCTCTAGGGGAATCCGACCACACAATGGTCCGCCTAACGCCATGCTATCAGCCAGTTTTAAAAAACAACAAAAATTCAATCAAAAGCTATTTAACTGTGGTCAGATGAGGCGACAGAAGAACTTCAAGCCTGCTTGGAATGTCCAGACTGGGACACGTTTATGAACACTTGCCCGGACATTGACGAGGTGACAAACACCGTCATTAAGTTCTGTGTGGACGAAATTATTTCCCAAAAAACAATCCGGGTATTCAACAACAAACCCTGGATGAGCAGAGATATAAAGGAGGCCAAACTCCACAAGAAGAACATGTTTAAGATTAACGATCAGGAATTCATTAAAGCTAAAAAAAAAGGTTTAAACGAAAAATTATATCAGGGTAAAAATACAATGCAAGCAAAAAATCGAAAAATTATTCGCTACTAACAATTCAAAGGGTTGATGGGCAGGACTAAAGCAAATAACAGGCTATACTCCTACGCGAGAATGCTTATGTGTTGAGGACGTGAATAATTTTGTTAACGACTTCAATGGCTTTTATTGTCGTTTTGTCAGCTTGGACTTTGGAAGTGTGCACAATGAGATGATGAATTCATTTCAAGATGGCAGTAGTACACAGGATGGTACATTATTGTTTACTGAACAGGAAGTGATTTCGTTATTAAAACAAATGGACACAGCCGAGGCCTCGGGACAAGACAAATTAAATGGTCGGCTCATCAAACTATGTTCAGAGCAGCTCTCCTACATTTTTTGTTACATATTTAATAAATCGTATGTAATCTTACGACCTGTTGCACTTACCTCTATTGTCATGAAATGTTTTGAGAAAATAGTTCCGAAAGAAACTTTGAATGAAGTACAGCAAAAACTTGACCCCCATCAATTTGGCTTACAAACCTGCCAGAAGTACGGAGGACGCAATCTTACTATTGTTTGAGAGATTTTACCATCACCTAGACCAGGGATCGGCAAACTGCGGCTCTCTAACTCCATGCGTAAATATTAATAACTATATTGAAATAAAAATGTTAAGGGCTCTTTAAAAACTGAGAAATTATGTAAATTGTAATATTTGGCTCTTCCGTCTCAAAAGGTTGCCGACCCCTGACCTAGACAGTCCTAAAACATATGTAAGAGTGCTTTTTTTAGACTTCTCCTCAGCATTTAACACTATCCAACCACACCTTATGATAAAGAAACTTTCCTCGTTAGTTGTCAATTTAAATATTCAGGCTTGGATACTGAACTTTTTAACAAATCGACCACAATATGTCAAAGTAAATAAACCAAGTATCTCTAACCAGAGAAATAAGCACAGGGGCCCCACAAGGCTGCGTTCTCTCTCCTATACTATATACAATATATACAAAGCTATGATATTCAAAGCTCAAGCGACAACGTTCCAATCTTTAAAATTTGCTGATGATACCACCATTGTTGGCTTAGTATCTGAAGGAGAGGGCAATATACTGCAAATTATTTACAAGCTTTATCAATTGGTGCGATGAAAATTTTCTCCAGTTGAATGTCTCAAAATCAAAAGAAATAGTTGTTGCTTTGAGGAGGGGGAAACACCAGATTACAGATCTCAACGTAAAAATCAAAGTGTAGAAAGTGTGGAAACATAGAAGAACTTAGGTGTCACCATTAATAATTAGCTAACATGGCATGAGCACAGCCAATTGCTGTATAAGAAATTCAACCAAAGACTGTTCTTCCTCAAAAAACTGTACAATTTCGGCGCAAACAAGGAAGTCGTTGACTTATTCTACAGTGCAACAATTGGAAGCCTGCTTAATTTCAGTATTACCTGCTGGTGTGGGAATTCAACGTCTGATATTAAACACCGCATAAACCGACTAATCAAGAAAGCTAGGAATATAACACAAACTAAACATCTTTCACTTGAAAAACTACTTGAAGAAAGATGTTTTTTTAAAAATAAACACATTTTGGATGACACATTCCACCCTCTTCATCACAGGTACTTAGAATCGGAAAATTCGGGACGAATTCTTTCCATCAGAGCGAAGACTGACAGATATAAAAATTATTTTGTTCCCCAATCTGTACGAATTTACCGGCGTGCTTCCTCTGAAGTCACACATCTTAATGAGATCTAATAACGCCCTGACTTTGCTAAGAGAACTCACTGAAGGGCTGTTCAAAATAATTTATTTTTAAATGTCTTGTGTTCAAATTGTTTTTTTTTTTGTGCTAAAAATGTACAAAGCGATATCAAAAATTTTTTTTCCATTTATTTGGATCAATAAAAGAATCTTATCTTATCTTATAAAGCACAATATCTGCAGTTGGGATAACAAACTTGGCGTGCCACAAAAATCAAGCAGATGTCTGCGAAAACTCAGACACCTGCGATGGCCGTGAGTGGTTGGAAATAGATTACCCACACATGTACGCATTGAAAACATTTGAGCACCAGCCATAATTATGGTTGGATGACAGTGCATTCCATACTGCATGACAGTCCTACATTGGCCGCGGACCTGAATCATGACAGTGCATGCCGTTCTACGACTTGAGCTACCGTACTATAAGACATGCAATGTCTGACAGACGTTATATCAAATATGGACCTTTGAGGGTGCGAGCCAAACCTTTCAAATAATTTCTGATATATTGAAATAATTGCACTCCTCGAAGCAATAATTATTTAAAATAACTCACGTATTCTGTGTTCAACTTTGAGCAATTATAATTGTAATTTATAGATTTGTAATTATTTTCTCTTTGTTCCTCAAAGGGTTCATATATATCATACCTATGCCACGGTATTTAATTGTTTTACTTATTTTTTTCACGTAAGGCGAAATTATTATTATTTTCCAAAATATCTGTTTACCCAGTGAGTAAAGGTGTTTTTAAAAAAAAATAATAATCTAATAACACATTTCCTATCTTAACTAACTGCGCCCAGTGCACACGAAATATTTCTAGATTTAAGAAATAATTATAGTAAATATATTTTTATTAAAATCTCTTATCTGATAGGTAGTCCCCAAATTGTTTAAATTACTAACCATTGGTGCAACTGAGTTATCATACATGCGCATGGTACTGTGCCAGAGTTGGTGCAAAATTATACAGAAAGAAGTGCTCCGTTTAAAAAAAAAATTATAATTTTAAAAAAATATATAAACGAAATAATGAATGATCACATTGATTTTTATTACAAGATTGCTTGTATGGGATGCTGACAAATTTTAATGACGAATATGTAACACTGTGTGTATCTAAATAGAAACCTAGTTTGCAACGATACAGACGTTTGGATGCGATTGTTCACCGGCTTCATGCCATGACGTGACGGTAAAGAAAAGAAACAAACAAGTAAAACAGTAGTGGGCAGAGTTGAATATATCATTGTGTAATAAGACTTTCTCGATGCAGTAAACTATTATTTAATTATCAATTGTTTTAATGAAAGATATTTCTAGATAAGTCAAGCCTACTTACACAAAGCTGTAATTTAGAATGTCGTTTTGAACATATGTATCATAGGTGTTGCTTGTTTTTTGTTTGTTTGGGGGGGGGGGAATGCTGGCATCATACTCAGGTCATTAATAAATACTAGTCCAGCGTCCACCCCAAAAGGTGGTAACTGGACCGACAAGTGTGCCAGATCCCTACGGTACCGGGAAAAAAAAATGAATATTTGTGTTCAAATAAAGTGAAAATTTAATTTTTACATCCTGTACCGTTTCCTGGTGAACTTTTAAAACTTTTCCACTGTTGCGCCATAGTTTGGAAAAGGCTGCACTGACACATTTTTTTCCCCACGTGTAACACCAATAACAAAAAGAAGTTTAATTAGTTGTACGTGTTTCACAGACTAAGAATAGTCGGACAGGATTATCTGATTGGAAATGTTCACACATTTAAAGTGTATTGATAACATATAAAAAAAAAAACCAAACCAAAAGCAATGTATTAAATCGAACGTATCGATTCTGCATACAACCATATCAACATTGCTTACAACCAAATCAACATTGCATACAAGTAAATCAACATTGCATACAAGTAAATCAACATTGCATACAACTAAATCAATATTGCATACAACTAAATAAACATTGCATACAACTAAATAAACATTGCATACAAGTAAATTAACATTGCTTACAACCAAATCAACATTGCATATAACTAAATCAACATTGCATACAACTAAATCAACATTGCATACAACTAAATCAACATTGCATAAAACTAAATCAACATTGTATAGAACGAAATCAACATTGCATACAACGAAATCAACATTGCATACAACGAAATTAACATTGCATACAACATAAATTAACATTTAATAGATCCAAGTCAACACACAACCCTTGTAAACGTGACCATCCAGGCAACTTTAGCGTTTACATATATCATTAGAGTATAGCCAACATTGCAGTCTAGTCAACATTGCAGTCTAGTCAACATAACAGTCAAAACCAACATTACGGTCTATTAAATTCAACATTTTAATTGTTCTCAACAACAAAATAACTTTCAGAGTGTTTTTGATTTACATAAATATCGGTTTATTAATTTGACGAGGAGAAAACAATTATTAATTAAAGGCAAACGGCAATCTTAAGGTTAAAATGAAGGATAAGTCAAGAAAACCATGGCGTCATAGGATACAACTTTACCGTCTCTGTCAGTGGGATAAATGAACAGTTCTTATCCAAAGACCAAAGGGGATAACCTCTATCTCTACCATAAACGGGATACAGATCTATCCGTGACACAAAACGGGATACAACTCTATCACTAACATAAAAGGGGATACAACTCTTCTCGAAGCATGATAAGCGACGAGCTGTTGTCCACATTCATTCAAGTCGCCGGCGTTTATATTTCGGGCATCGTCGGGTTCCTGGGCATCGTGTTCAACGTCATCAACATCATCGTCTTCGTCAAACTCGGTTTCTCGGACACCACCAACATCTCGCTGCTGGCTCTGTCCGTGGCAGACATCGGCGTTTCCTTGCCCGTGCTCGGGTACAGCATCATCAGCATCCCTTTCGTCACCTCGCTACTCGGGCGATCGCTGGCGGGGGCCATTATTTACGCTGTCGGAGCCCCTGTCCACATTCTGTTTTGCCGGATCGCCGGTCTCTTGACGGCGTTTCTGGCACTGGAGCGATTCGTCTGCGTGGCGTGGCCGTTGCGCGTCAAAACTGTGGTCACGCCACGGCTGACCGTTGGTTTAGTGATAAGCCTCTTTGTCATCATGACGGCATGCAATGTTCCTAATTCTCTAGCCTATCGTATCGGGCTTGAATTCGACCCGCTGTTGAACGAGACTGGGTACGGGATTCTATTTCATCCGCACGGCGATCAACTCCAGGACATAACGATCACCGTCCAGGTGCTGGCCCAGATAACATCATTCACCGTCGTCGCCGTGTCCACTCTTGGGCTGGTCTGGTCACTGCGTAAAAGCGTCAAATGGAGGAAGTCCACGTCTGCTGTCAGCCTCCCTGCTCACGTGTCCAGACGTGAAAAACAACTGGTCAAGATGGTCATCCTGATCTCAGTGGTTTTCATCGTCTGCTCGCTGCCCACGGTTGTCGGGAACTTGGCGATGGTTTGCGATAAGGACTTCAACGTCCGTGGGAGTCTCATGAACCTGTTTTTATTTTCGTCCATAGTATTTTTCATCTTAAACACCACCAACTCGATGGTCAACATGTTTGTCTACCTGAACATGAGCTCCAGGTACAGAGTGGTGTTTCTTTCACTGATCAGTCGGACGTGATGATTTGTTCGATGTCAAGACGTGTTATCGGCTTTCTTATTACATTCCTCCTGTTGACTACACCCACACATTAACACGTGAATGTTTAGGAGTTTGACACATTCGAAAACACTGCTACATTAAGTTTAAGACGCCACTAAGCACATGTTTTGTTTTTTTTTTCCATTCATTAAATTTAAAATTTAATTCTTTATTAAAAGTATTAGAAGATAGTTTTAATGCTTCTTCTATGTCGCTCTTTCACTTTGATTCCTGTACCATGTGAGATGGGTCGGGGAGATCAGAGGCAGACAAATATGTGTCGGGGAGATCAGGGGCAGACACAGACGTGTGTTGGGAAGATCAGAGGCAGACTCATACGTGTGTCAGGAAGATCAGAGGCAGACAAATATGTGTCGGGGAGATCAGGGGCAGACACAGACGTGTGTCGGGAAGATCAGAAGCAGACTCAGATTTGTCTGGGAGATCAGAGGCGGACAAAAATGTGTTGTGGAGGTCAGGGGCAGACACAGGTGTGTCTGGGAGATCAGCGTCAGACTCTTTTTAAATCACACTCACACATACACATGCAAACAAAATAAAAACATCTTTAAATTTATAATTTATATACCCAGGGCTAAAATCACATATCGATCCTCAATATCTGCGAATTCGCTCACTCCAAACGATTGTAATTGACTATAGTACATACATTTTTTTATGGGGCTCATGGATGAAAACAAAACTAAGTATAAATACATCATAGAATTAAATGCGTACATGGTAATATGAAACATCATTATACAACTTTTTGTTGTGTTGAAAATATTTTAATTTTAATAAAAAGGAAAAATGCATCTGAGAGTATCCATATTTCTTGATAACTTTACAAAAGGGTTTACCACGCCAAGCAGAAATTTACTATATAGTTTTAAAAATTTTACAGTCACTTTGACATTGTTCCACCAATTAATCAATCAGGTAGATATTCTTATGTAGTTCCACCAATTAATCTAACAGGTATATATTCTTATGTAGTTCCACCAATTAATCTAGCAGGTAGATATTCGTATGTAGTTCCACAAATTAATCTAACAGGTAGATATTCTTATGTCGTTCCACCAATTAATCTAACTGGTAGATATTATTATGTAGTTCCACCAATAAATCTAACAGGTACATATTGTTATGTAGTTCCACCAATTAATCTAACAGGTAGATATTATCATGTAGTTTCACCAATTAATCTAGCAGGTAGATATTCTCATGTAGTTTCACCAATTAATCTAACAGGTAGATATTCTTATGTAGTTCCACCCATTAATCTAACAGGTAGATATTCTTATGTAGTTCCACAAATTAATCTAACTGGTAGATATTCTTATGTAGTTCCACCAATTAATCTAGAAGGTAGATATTCTTATGTAGTGCCACCAATTAATCTAACAGGTAGATATTCTTATGAAGTTCCACCAATTAATCTAACAGGTAGATATTCTTATGTAGTTCCACCAATTAATCTAACTGGTAGATATTCTTATGTAGTTCCACCAATTAATCTAGCAGGTAGATATTCTTATGTAGTTCCACCAATTAATCTAACAGGTAGATATTTTTATGTAGTTCCACCAATTAATCTAACCGGTAGATATTCTTATGTAGTTCCACCAACTAATCTAACAGGTAGGTATTCTTATGTAGTTCCACCCATTAATCTAACATGTAGATATTCTTATGTAGTTCCACAAATTAATCTAACTGGTTGATATTCTTATGTCGTTCCACCAATTAATCTAACAGGTAGATATTCTTATGTCGTTCCACCAATCAATCTAACAGGTAGATCTTCTTATGTAGTTCCACCCATTAATCTAACAGGTAGATATTCTTATGTAGTTCCACAAATTAATCTAACTGGTAGATATTCTTATGTAGTTCCACCAATTAATCTAGAAGGTAGATATTCTTATGTAGTGCCACCAATTAATCTAACAGGTAGATATTCTTATGAAGTTCCACTAATTAATCTAACAGGTAGATATTCTTATGTCGTTCCACCAATTAATCTAACTGGTAGATATTATTATGTAGTTCCACCAAAAATTCTAACAGGTACATATTGTTATGTAGTTCCACCAATTAATCTAACAGGTAGATATTATCATGTAGTTTCACCAATTAATCTAGCAGGTAGATATTCTCATGTAGTTTCACCAATTAATCTAACAGCTAGATATTCTTATGTAGTTCCACCCATTAATCTAACAGGTAGATATTCTTATGTAGTTCCACAAATTAATCTAACTGGTAGATATTCTTATGTAGTTCCACCAATTAATCTAGAAGGTAGATATTCTTATGCAGTGCCACCAATTAATCTAACAGGTAGATATTCTTATGAAGTTCCACCAATTAATCTAACAGGTAGATATTCTTATGTCGTTCCACCAATCAATCTAACAGGTAGATCTTTATATGTCGTTCCACCAATAATTCTAACAGGTAGATCTTCTTATGTAGTTCCACCAATCAATCTAACAGGTAGATATTCTTATGTCGTTCCACCAATTAATCTAACAGGTTGATATTATTATGCAGTTTCACCAATCAATCTAACAGGTTGATATTCTTATGTAGTTTCACCAATTAATCTAACATGTAGATATTCTCATGTAGTTTCACCAATCAATCTAAAAGGTAGATCTTCTTATGTCGTTCCACCAATCAATCTAAAAGGTAGATCTTCTTATGTCGTTCCACCAATCAATCTAACAGGTAGATATTCTTATGTCGTTCCACCAATCAATCTAACAGGTAGATCTTCTTATGTAGTTCCACCAATCAATCTAACAGGTAGATCTTCTTATGTAGTTCCAACAATTAATCTAGCAGGTAGATATTCTTATGTAGTTCCACCAATTAATCTAACAGGTAGATATTCTTATGTAGTTCCACCAATTAATCTAACCGGTAGATATTCTTATGTAGTTCCACCAATTAATCTAACAGGTAGATATTCTTATGTAGTTCCACCCATTAATCTAACAGGTAGATCTTCTTATGTAGTTCCACAAATTAATCTAACTGGTTGATATTCTTATGTAGTTCCACCAATTAATCTAACAGGTAGATATTCTTATGTCGTTCCACCAATCAATCTAACAGGTAGATCTTCTTATGTAGTTCCACCAATCAATCTAACAGGTAGATATTCTTATGTCGTTCCACCAATCAATCTAACAGGTAGATCTTTTTATGTCGTTCCACCAATAATTCTAACAGGTAGATCTTCTTATGTAGTTCCACCAATCAATCTAACAGGTAGATATTCTTATGTCGTTCCACCAATTAATCTAACAGGTTGATATTCTTATGTAGTTTCACCAATCAATCTAACAGGTTGATATTCTTATGTAGTTTCACCAATTAATCTAACAGGTAGATATTCTCATGTAGTTTCACCAATCAATCTAAAAGGTAGATCTTCTTATGTCGTTCCACCAATCAATCTAAAAGGTAGATCTTCTTATGTCGTCCCACCAATCAATCTAACAGGTAGATATTCTTATGTCGTTCCACCAATCAATCTAAAAGGTAGATCTTCTTATGTCGTTCCACCAATCAATCTAACAGGTAGATCTTCTTATGTAGTTCCACCAATCAATCTAACAGGTAGATCTTCTTATGTAGTTCCACCAATCAATCTAACAGGTAGATCTTATTATGTAGTTCCACCAATCAATCTAACAGGTTGATATTCTTATGTAGTTTCACCAATCAATCTAACAGGTTGATATTCTTATGTAGTTTCACCAATTAATCTAACAGGTAGATATTATCATGTAGTTTCACCAATCAATCTAAAAGGTAGATCTTCTTATTTCGCTCCACCAATCAATCTAAAAGGTAGATCTTCTTTTGTCGTTCCACCAATCAATCTAAAAGGTAGATCTTCTTATGTCGTTCCACCAATCAATCTAACAGGTAGATCTTCTTATGTCGTTCCACCAATCAATCTAACAGGTAGATCTTCTTATGTAGTTCCACTAATCAATGCGCAAAGTTAAAATTTTAGGAGATTTTCACCATGTCATCCTCAAGGTGGAGATTCAATTTATATTTCGCCAGTGAATTTGCCATGTAAACATTCTCACGTAGATTGACGAATTCATCAGCCAAAGGATAGATAAAAATACATTTTCACCAAATAACCCACCCAGTCAGTAGATATTTTTATAATATATTTTCACTCATTAATCCATCCAGTAAACGTTATTACAAAGTTTCACCAAGTAATCCTCACTGTAAATATTCTAAAATCGTTTCACCAATTAATCAGTCAAGTAAACATTCTAATACTAATATAGTTTCACGACATAATCCATCCCTAAAAACAATATATTTTTTACCAATTAAGCTGCCCGGTAAACACTACTATACATTTTACCATTTAATCCACAAAGAAAACATATTGTCTTACCCGTTGCGGAAACTAATCAAAACAATGGAGAAAAGATATAATTTTTTTTAAAAAGTATTTATTTAAAGTACAAAGGCCCCGGTCGTGTGACACAACTGAACGGAACCCCAACCCAGCCACTCTATGTCACGAGACTCTGATCGTCCGTCAAACCGGGTATGGACCGGGTATGCCAAATACACTGATCAATGAAGCTAAATCTCTACTTAGTCTGCATGGTCCATACATGAGTTTGTAGGGCATTAACTTCGTAATTTTCCTTATAAGATCCCCCTGCGACATAGAAAAAAAACTAACAAAAGCTGCACATTTCTAACAACTATATATTTCCAACAAGAGAAGATAATGATAATTATGTGCCTGAAATGTTGGCTGACGTCATGTCAAGTTCAAGAAAGTAATTCTTTTCTCTTTTCAACAATTCAACGTTACCTTTTTTTCTCTCTCTCTCTTTTTGTTGTCTGCTCGTCTTCAATTTACTTTACTCATGAAACGTAACCAATGTGGAAAAAGATCCCAAACAAACACGTAATTGTATGCCAGTTAATAAAACTCGTCTGTCCAAACGTTTGCCAATTCTCTGTGATATGTATTTAACTCGACTCGATTGCCTTTGTGTGCTGGAATGACGTCTCTTTTGCATAAATATGTGTCTCAGTTATTTATTTTTTTTTTTTTAATTTTGGGATGACTAGATTTAACCGAAAAATAGATACAAACAAGATTTTGAATAGCAGAAACAAAAAGACACTAACAAATTACTAGCTGTTACCCAAATGTTATGGGGTCGAAATAGCTGGTTCTGTATTGTATCGTATTACGAGAATAACAATGATTGCGACGTTCACCTGGGACAGAGACACACACACACACTGGCATGTAAACCAACTGATTGATATATTTATAAATAACACGTGTTCGAGATAGAACATCAAGTTTTCCTTCCACAACTGATAGGTAACCGCTCTTGTCAGTAATAACGGTGTGGAGTCTTCCAACCTTGTATTGACGATGTTTATCTCTGTCGGGCCATTGTCATTGTGTGTAATAGATCAGCGCCATCGTATTTGTCCGGTTGTGTCTAACGAAGACCACCGACATCTCACTGTTGGGCCCGAGACAGACATTGGCCCTCAGTTCGCCATTATAAGTTGTTGTATTTATATCTTCAGTCCTTCGCCTATAGCTGAAACGCCCTCTGTGATTATCTCAAATTCTCCGAATATCTTAAAGGTGGTGTACTTCATATTGGTCTGCGTATTCCCAACACGTATGCCCTTCGGATACTTAGTTTGTTTGGTTTGTTTGACGTAAGGGCGAGTCCTGCATCAGCTGGATGTCGCTGTCTGCTGGATTAAAAGAAAATAAAATTGGTGGATATGCCGTATTTTTCTTTAAAGTAAAAGCGATCTCCATGAGATGTTGACGGTACTCGTGTAAACGTCTGTTGTAAAATTAATAACTGGGTTACGGAAGGGTACTACTTTGATAACAGGCAGATTTAGAAGGACATTTTGTGACGGTTTACCTGACGATGCCATTGCTCTGTGACGGTTTACTTGACGATGTCATTGCTCTGTGACGGTTTACTTGACGATGTCATTGCCCTGTGACGGTTTACTTGACGATGCCATTGCTCTGTGACGGTTTACTTGACGATGTCATTGCTCTGTGACGGTTTACTTGACGATGTCATTGCCCTGTGACGGTTTACTTGACGATGTCATGCCCTTTGACGGTTTACTTGACGATGCCATTGCTCTGTGACGGTTTACTTGACGATGTCATTGCTCTGTGACGGTTTACTTGACGATGTCATTGCTCTGTGACGGTTTCCTCGACGATGTCATTGCTCTGTGACGGTTTCCTTGACGATGTCATTGCTCTGTGACGGTTTACTTGACGATGCCATTGCTCTGTGACAGTTTCCTCGACGATGTCATTGCTCTGTGACGGTTTACTTGACGATTTCATTGCTCTGTGGCGGTTTCCTCGACGATGTCATTGCTCTGTGACGGTTTACTTGACGATGTCATTGCTCTGTGACGGTTTCCTTGACGATGTCATTGCTCTGTGACGGTTTCCTTGACGATGTCATTGCTCTGTGACGGTTTACTTGACGATGTCATTGCTCTGTGACGGTTTACTTGACGATGTCATTGCTCTGTGACGGTTTCCTCGACGATGTCATTGCTCTGTGACGGTTTCCTCGACGATGTCATTGCTCTGTGACGGTTTACTCGACGATGTCATTGCTCTGTGACGGTTTACTTGACGATGTCATTGCTCTGTGACGGCATTGTTCGTTCAAGGGTTGTTCAACTGGCTATTTTATAGTTTTCCTTTTGGGCTACTACAATATAGGGGACTGTCTTTATTATCCCTCACAACAAAAACGCGCAACACATATAATATAAGAAGATTAATTGTATAGATATATTAAATACCGGAATCAGATGATAGTATGAAAGTAGTTGGTGGAGATCACAAGAAGGTTCAAATGTGGTGCTACACAAATTTCATCGTCGGTCACCCCAAACTTTTTTTTAAGATTCCTCAAAATCAATAAAAAAAAAATGTGTTTAGTGCAACTGCATACGAAAGTACATCTATTTTAATTGATGGTCGTCTCACACTTTTTGGAGATAATCAATGTTGAACCACAATGAAATGTCATGCCCAGTCATTTACACATACCACGAGCAACGCACATCTTCTTTTATGTCAGGATGTGTCTCAATGTTGTAGATGTTTTTATTTTTTTTTAATATTAATAATTTGTAGAATGATAAACTAAACTAGATCATAGAAATACGACGACAGGTCTGGAAAATGTTTTAGAATAATTATGGTAAAGGCCAATCATTTCAACACCGAGGAAGATTTCATATGTAATTACGTTGAAATCTTTAGTACGGAGTTCCAAGAGTATCTTTAATTTGACCTGACTGGTTATATTTACCCGTCGCTCTGCTGCTGCATAATTCAAAGTTGACGGATATTAGAGACAATTACTTCAAAACATATGTTGAGACCCAAATCTTATTACTTTTAACACCATCAAGATGTGTAATCAATTTAGTTAGGATAAATTGAGGGTAATAGGTGGTTGCATTTTTTTAGAGACAAGAAGTGATATTAGACATTAATTCCTGTTCAGGTTGGTGGAATTGAGGAGAGGGGGAAAGCTCATAGAGAGTTATTATGTTGGTTCAACACCTCTACAGAAATTACGATACAATTTTCACATGACATAAGACGACTTGGCCCTGTACTTACACTTTTGAATAATCATTACTTGAAACCACTGATGTGGTTGGCTAAAAATCAATACGCGCGCAACTTTGGTCCATTAACAAGGTGTTTGAATCTGGGATTACCCGTATTGGCGGTTGCCGCGGAACAACAACCACCAGCGATGGCCGGCGATGGTGATGATGGTTCAGCGGATATCAGCGACGCCCTGCTGTACTCTTTTATCTTCGTCGTAAACGTGTTACTCGCCTTCGTCGTCGGATTTCTGGGAGTCGTCTTTAATCTCATCAACGTCGTGACCTTCATCAAAATGGGTCTGTCGGACAACACCAACATCTCCCTGCTGAGTCTGGCCGTGGCGGACATCGGGGTCTCGCTGACGATGATTGGCTACAGCGTCGTGTACAACCCTTTGATCCTCGAGGCCACCCCCATCGACCTGATACGAGCCGTCAACTACACCATCCAGGGCTCGTGTCACATTCTGTTTTCCCGCATCGCCGGCTGCCTGACGGCGTTCATCACGGTTGAGCGGTTTTTGTGCATCGCGTTTCCGTTACACGTCAGAGCCATCGTCACGCCCCGGAGAACATCCAGCGTCGTGGTGTTCATCTACGCCTTCCTCACCGTTTGCACGATCCCATTTTACGTCGCCAACCAGATCGGACAAAGGTATGACCAGGACTCCAACAGGACGACCTACGGGCTTGTCGTCGCCCCGAACGCTGATCACCTCGAGGGCTTTACGTTGACCGTGAACAGCGTCGCCCAGATGACGTCCTTCGCGTTGGTCGTGGTGTCCACCTTGGGCTTGATTCGGTCGCTGCTGAAGGTATCCAGATGGAGGTCGTCCGCCTCCTCGTGCAGCTCACACCAGGAGGTGCGCGTCCGCGAGAACCAGCTGGTCAAGATGACCCTCCTCATAGCAGCAGTGTTCATAGCCTGCTCCCTGCCAACGGTTGTCGGCAACCTGGCCATGCTGTTTCTGAAAGATTTTAACATCAAAGGGAGGTCTAAAAATATCTTTGTTTTCATGTTTGTTATATTCTTTATGCTCGACTCCATCAACTCCACCATCAATATGTTTATCTACATCAAGATGAGCTCGAAATTTAAAGTACAGTTGATTTCATGTTGTAAACGAACGATGAAGCAGTGAATGCCATTATCGTGCTGCGGGGCTGCAGACTTCTCTGTGTGCTTATTTACGAATTTTAAAATTTATGACAATAGTGAAAGACTTTGGCCATAGGCAAGGAGGGATCATGGTGGCTTTAAGAGGGATATCTTTGTTGTCCCAATAAAATCAGAGTATAGGATAGCTCTTTGAGAATATCTGGAGACAATATATCCAGGTTAAGGATGCCTTTTTGAGAACATCTGATGAAAGTATATCAAGGTAGATGGGGACTAATAGCTAAAAGCATGATACAAAGTATAAACAAAAATTAGGTCTATACTCATGGTGTCTTTTTGAGAACATCTGAAATGAGCATTATATGGCGAAGTATTTTTTTTTTTTAGAATGGGCCACGCATGTCTTCGATGATCATAAAATAAAATAATTTCACTTTAATTATGCTATTTAGATTTTAAAAAATACAAAAACCAAATATACTGAAATAAATACTTTATTAACTTACAACCCAGCAACTAAAAAATAAAAGCCACGAACGACACAAATATTAATGTACACTCACACACACACACAAAGAGTAAAAATCTTGAAAGAATATTAGGTCTCGTAATGTGTCTCGTGTCTAGGAAAGGTAGCTAATCTCTTCCGGTTGGTATGGCTGCTGGCTTATGAAGAAGATAGAACCCTCCACAAAAGAGATTCTAGAAAAGCATCACCCGGTAGCGTTCTTCAGAACAAATTAATACGTAAACGACCTTTTCTCGGTCAAGGTAGGGGTGGGTACGTAATGGTGGAGCGCTACTCATTTAATCGATGACGTCAATATCGAAACAAACTCCCTTATGCTCATTGACACAAACAAATATCTACAGTTCCTCTGACACCACCTTGTTCTGATGTGCCCAAGGAAACACAACAAAAATAAAATAAACGAAGCCTCACTATAACTCAATTTAACAACAGCTAATTAACAAATGCATTATTAATTACTTAAGAGACATGACATACAAAACCTTAAAAGACAGGCTATGAAATATAGATGGCTATCACATAAATATGGCAATAATAGACGGCTATCACATAAATATGACAATAAGGCGATTATAACTTATGTTTCAAGCAAGACGCTTCATCTCTTTATAGCGGTTCTGTACTATTGTCAAGGATTGTCATTGGCTCTTTCATACGTCTCGTCGTCGATCTGTGTTGACGTCTGTTCATTGTCAACACGACCACGCGCTTGCCGTGATTTGCCATCATCATCAACTGTGGCCCTACAGCCCCTGTAGCTCCCTGGCCAGCTCCACCACATCCTTCCATTCGGATGGATCCATGGCTTTCCGTCTCTATGCGCGAACCCCCGACTGGTGTAAGTCCTTCCCTACATCGTCGATCCTTTTCAGTCTTGGTCGACCGGTCAGCCGTCTGCCCCTAGGTCTGTGCCTATGGACCACTTTTGCTGCTCTACAATCTGGCATCCTTTCAATATATCCTTCCCATAGTAGTTTGCCTTTTTTTTTTTTTTTTTTTTTTTTGGTTGTTGTTGTTGTTACGACTGTGGATTGTATTTGTACAATTGATATAGCTCTTGTTTTGTAAGAATTCTCCAGACATCCTTATCTATCACTTGGCCATATATTTTCCTGAGGATTTTCCCTCCCATGTATTGAAAAGGTTCTCTGCTTTTTTTGGAAAGGGACCAGGTCTCACTAGCGTAAGTTACTACCGGTCTTATGATAGTGGTCTATATTGTCTTCTTCGTTCCCCTTTCAATTTTTTACTTCTCAGTAGCTTTTGTAACATAAAAATTGGAACGGTTGCCTGCTGTTATCCTTTCTTTCATCTCCGACATTATTTCCTGATGCTCGTTGATAGTCGCCCATAGATCTTTGAAAGTAGCCACTCTCTTAAATTTGTGGCTGTATCTATTGATGTTGTCATCAGCGTGGGTGTTCCCATACATCATATATCTCTTCATTTACATCAAGATCAGCTTGGACCGAGGCATTTTCAAGTTCCCTGAATGCTTTAATTATGTCATTTCTGTTTCTACCCAATAGTGCTATATCGTCTCGATGAGTAGGCCAGGTACTGTAATGGCTGGCTATATAAAGTTCAAGGTTAGTGTTGTTCTGTAACACTTCTGTGGAAGTAGATTGTGATGGTTCCACTGATGCTAACGGGTATGCTTCTGATAACTTTTTCTAGCGTGATGTTGAACAGGGTACACGATAGTGAATCTCCTTGTCTGAGGCCCTGATTAACTGGGAAATCCCTCGCGTATTCTTCCTGTACATTTATTCTACGTTTGGAGTGTGGTATCGTCATATAGATGAGCCGGGTAAGTTTGTTAGGTACTCCAAGTTCCAGGAGAGCGTCGTACAGGTATTTCCTTTTCTAATCTATCATACGCTGTATTGTAGTCCACATATCATTGGTGCATGCCTAGATATAAACTGTTTATATTCGTAACATCTCTCTAAGAGACATCCAATAGTGAAAGTGTGATCCGTGGTTGACCTATTCTGCCAGAATCAGCTTTGGAAGTCCCCTAGGATCTGTTTGCTATTCCTTTCAAGTTTTCTTACTATTAGTTTTGTGAGGATATTGTACATCACGTTAAGGAGGGCGATTCCTCTATAGCTTTAGCTATAGATCTATAACTTAGATCTTTTTTTTTTTTTTTTGTGTGTGTGATCTGTGATTATGAGTGCAGTGTCCTATTCTTTTGGCATTTGTTCCTCATGCCAGATTTTGGATATAAGGGTTTAGTATCTGTTTGCTATTTCTTTCAAGTTTTCTTACTATTAGTTTTGTGAGGATATTGTACATTACGTTAGGGAGGGCTATTCCTCTATAGCTTTAGCTATAGTTCTTTAACTTAGTTTTTTTTTTTTTTTTGTGTGTGTGATCTGTGATTATGAGTGCAGTGTCCTATTCTTTTGGCATTTGTTCCTCATGCCAGATTTTGGATATAAGGGCGTGTATTTGCCTACACAGTTCGTTTCGAACTCGTTTTACCAACTCCGCAGAGAGACGGTCTTTTCCTAAGGCTTTGATCTTTTTCATCGTAACGATCACATCTTTTATTTCATTCAGTTTTGGTTGGTTGACCAATGGGTCCGATTCTCCTTGTGGTAGAATGTAATCCTCATTGGCTCTTCCACCTGAGCCATTCAGTAAGCCTTCAAAGTGTTGTGCCCATCTCTCTAGTACCCCACTGCTCTCTGTGATCAGTTCTCCATCCATACTTTCGCACATGTGGGATCGTGCTTGAAAGCATTTTTTCTCCTGCTTTATCTCCATATGCATTTCCCCTCACATCTCTTTATTTTGCCAACTCTTCTTTCTCTCCTATATTTTGTTTTCCTCAAACATGCTTGTTATTTCTACAAATTTTGGAAGCCACATTTCTTGTTTCATGAAATAATTGTCGTATTCTTCTTGTCTCCCATTGCTAAAGTAGCCGTGCCTTGGTTCTTTGTTCTGTAACTTTAACTGCATTCTGCGACATACCCTCCTGTTCTTTTTTTCACTGTCGGTTTAAATTCTATTGTTGCCTTTGTTACACTTTTAACTATTCGCTGCATCTTTTTCCAATAACTCGTTTATATTAATGTCGCTGGCTTATTCCCTTTTGAATAATTCTAGTTGTGTTTCCATCCTCTGCTGATTTTCCGCAGTAATTTTTGGGTAGTGACTTGTCTTACTATTATAAAATAAAGGGTGACTATAGCTGAACTATATAAGGAAATCACCTGCACTGTGTGAGATATACACAGAGGTCCACCTAAATTCTTACCGTGGTCTGCCGGGAATAACTAAATGTCTACATAACACCCCAATCATTCACACAAACTACCACAAAGCTTCTACATTCAGACACCGTACATTACACTTACCTCGATGTGAATTACTTTGGCAAGAACCGGCACAGTCTAGTTCTAAGTCTAAGTCTAGACATGCGGGAGAGAAGTCTCATGTGAGGACTGCAGTTGGTGGTCAGTAAAGTAACTGGATTTTGTGTCACTCGTATACCCACTCGTTCCTCCCCAAACCTCTCTACCCATGACGCCTCCGAGTCGCCAACGTTCCCAGGAGATTCTAATGAACTTCTGCCATCTCGCTACGATAAACTGACGCATGCTACCCAAAGTCAAAGACAACGAACACAGCTACATTCATACACCTACCTCCCTCCGTGTGACCATAGCCCCGGGGAAATCCCCATTCATAGCCATCCTCCTCTCCCAGGACCGGTTTACTTGTTGAGAGTACCTTGACCATGACGTAACAGTTACGGTCAAACGGCGACGGTGGGTCATCAACGGCGGAGCGCTGCACATTTAACCGATGACGTCAATATCAAAGCAAGTAGTTTGGTGATTAACGATGCGGCTCTAGGTTTAAACAAAAAAAAAAAAGAAAAAAAAAAGCACTTTATCCTTAACAGTCTCAAAAACTGCTGCTGAAGATTTATTTTTTTGAAGAGATACAATCGCTGCACATTTAACCGATGACGTCAATATCAAAGAAAGTAGTTTGGTGATTAACGATGCGGCTCTAGGTTTAAAAAAAAAAAAAAAAGAAAAAAAAAAGCACTTTATCCTTAACAGTCTCAAAAACTGCTGCTGAAGATTTATTTTTTTGAAGAGATACAAAAAAAAATGATACAAGGTGGCGTTTACAAATTATTTAAGCCCAAAATGTGACATTTTTACACAACCTCTACCACTAATAGTGTCAGCTATTTTTTCCATTGAGCACCCCGTAATATAAAATTACAGTTCTAGCAATCAGCTCCGTCCGGATAAAACATTGGTACGAAACATTTTATTTTCAAAATATGTTTATTGTATTTCGCAAATGTAATAAGTAACTGTTAACGAAAAACGAATGTTTTTGTGTTTTTTTTTGTACACCCAGTCCTGAAGGAATCCTGGAAAAATAAATAAAAAGATCACGAATTGAAATATTTTAATAAATATTAGAGGTAAAATAAACAGGAATGCAAAGAAAAACATGAACGCTCAAGAAATATTCCACGGATCCTTGGTGCGATGGTCAAGTTGTCCACCGGTCCTTGGTGCGATGATCAAGTTGTCCACCGGTCCTTGGTGCGATGGTCAATTTGTCCACCGGTCCTTGGTGCGATGGTCAAGTTGTTCACCGGTCCGTTGAGCAATGGTCAACTTTTCCACCGGTCCTTGGTGCTATGGCCAACTTGTCCACCGATACTTGGTGCGATGGTCAACTTGTCCACCGATCATTGGTGCTATGGCCAACTTGTCCACCGATCCTTGGTGCGATGGTAAACTTGTCCACGGTCCTTGGTGCGATGGCCAACTTGTCCACCGGTCCGTGGTGCTATGGTCAACTTGTCCACTGGTGCGTGTTGCGGTGGTGAACTTGTCCCCTGGCTCAGCAAACTTAATTTAACCCACAACACTGAATGTTGGTGTTTGTCAACTCCGTCTTAGAAATGGCCCATTACTTTTTTTTTTTCGAATTTGAAAGACCGCAATAGTTATTACCACACTGCATTCACAAGGTTGCAGGATTCGCTTTCACGCATAGCCGTCATGTGGGACCTGAAACCCCTGGGGCTGTATGGAGATTCAGCTATTTAAAAGGATAAAAACTATGATGTGTAAAAAAAAAAAAACAACAAAAACTATTAATTTTGAACGCAGGGGGCCCAAAACTAAAAATGAGCAGGGGGTGGGCTCCAAAACTCACGCGACCACCCTGATTTTACGTAAAATTTAATAAATATTTTCACATGAAAGATTATCAAGAGAAAACTTCCACAATAACAAACACTTAAAGAATTTGCTCTTTCGATGAATATAAATTAATGTAATCTAGGTCTCAAATTATGTATCTATAAATCCCATGACCTGGACAAAATGAGAGGGCGGAGGCCTTTCAAACTATAGAAATGTTGCAACATAACCCAACAATCGGTAGCAAGTTGAAAGCATATATTCTCAAACATGTCAATTAAAAAAAAATGAAAATTGTAAAAATAATATTTTTTTGTTTGAAGCATACACACAAAATGCGCCCCGCGTTTTATCAAAGCGTGGTTCAATCTATTCATCCCAAAATAATCAGTCATCTGTCGTTTATCTCTTTATCTCTCTAGTTCGATCATTCAGCCGTTTGATTGGAGAGCGCTTCTCCTAAATCTAACGTATAATAACACTGTTTCCGACATGAAACACAATCTTTGTAACAATTCAGTAGTGGAGCGCTTAACATTCAATTTATGACTTCCTGCCCCTCCAGCCCCCCTCCCCCCGGCCGCCCCACCCCCCTCCCCAGATCCCATCACAGAGACCTGTTAAACATTCGTTGTGAACACATTGATTTCCTACTAGAGAAGAAAGCCTGCAAAGTAAAACATGAATCCTTTGGTCGCACATAGTCAGCATTGGGGGGGGGGGGGGAAATGTGTGCGTGGAGGGGGTTGTATAGGTGGGGTGGGGGGGACTAGAATGTATATGGCAATAAGTTTTCTGTATAAATTGGACTCAAAGGAAATGTCCATAAAATACTGGCTTAGTTTTATTTTATTGTAGTATAAGGTTGAAAGCATTTGATTTTTTAATTTTTTTTTGTTATAAAAAAAAAATAATAAGTAATAATAATAAATAAATTGGCATTGTTGTTGTTTTTTCTCTCAAGACCAAGAAATTCTGTTTGTCATTGATTTTTTCAATATAATTTTTTTTTTCCAAAGAACATAATTTCTAGATAATTGTACAAAAATATTTTAAAGGTTTTTGCATTTGAACTACGCCATTAAGGTGCTAAACGTAAATAATTAATGGTCACGGGCTGTTGACAGATTTCTTGCCAGATAAACCCGGGTTTCAAATACATTCAACCAACAATTTTAGTCTCTCTTGGGTTGAGTAATACTTTTATTTTTGAGTCAAGTACAGCATTTAAAAGGCATTATTTTTGTTAACTCTGTGCGTGAAAATCTATTAGGGCCTACGCTTCATTTCGTTATATTTAAATGGGATTGATATTTTTTTTTCGGTGAATATAATAACGCTGAATATAAAATAACAGAAGTACGACGAGACTGTACTAACCATGATCAGCGATGAGCTGCTGACCTGGTTTGTCCAGGTGATGAACTGGTACGTCGGCGCCCTCGTCGGCCCCCTCGGCCTCCTGTTCAACGTCATCAACATCGTCGTCTTCATCAAACTGGGTTTCTCGGACACCACCAACATCTCACTGCTGAGCCTGGCCGTGGCGGACACCGGGGTCCTGTTGACCACGGTGGGTTACTGCGTCATGCACAGCCCCCCTCGTTCTCGACACGACGGTCAAGGAAGTCAGGGACGTGCTGAACTTTTCGGTGCTGGGCTCGTCGCACATCCTGTTCAGCCGGATCGCCGGGCTCTTGACGGCCTTCATCACGATGGAGCGATTTTTGTGCGTCGCGTGGCCATTTCAAGTGAGATCTCTGATCACGCCAGCGCGAACAACCGTTGTTGTCGTGAGCATTTACGTGTTTATGACGTGCAGCAGCATCCCAATTTTCTTAGCCAATCAAATCGGTACAAGCTACAACCCGGAGCTGAACGCAACCGTCTACGGCCTGGTGACGCTGCCAAACTCGGGAGATCTCGAAAGCGTGACCCTGACCGTTCACATGATCGCGCAGATGACGTCGTTCGTCGTGGTCGCAGGGTGCACCCTCGGGTTGATTCGGTCGCTCGTCAGGGCCTCGAGGTGGAGGACCGCGACGACGTCGTCGTCGTTGCGGTTGGCGTCCGTTACGAGCGCCGACGTGTCCAGTCGGGACAAGCAGCTGGTCAAGATCACCGTCCTCATATCCATCGTGTTCATCGTCTGCCTGCTGCCGACGGTGGTCGGCAACCTGGTGATGATCTTCGTCAAGGACTACAGCATCAAGGGAAGTTTCAGGAACGTGTTCGTGTTCACGTTCATCGTCTTTTACTTCCTGGACGCCGTCAACTCGACCGTGACGATCTTCATCTATTTCAGACTGAGTTCCCGATACAGGGCTCAATTCGTGGCACTCTTTAGATATCAAGCTCATGGAAAGCAAAACTTCGTTTGAGCAATTGCTTAATGGATAAATTAATTTCATGTAAATTTTTAATTCAGTCAGATCCTACGTTACCTCCAATGCAATTTTTTTTGGTACATATATACCGAATGTAATAGGAAGAGCTCTCTACTAAAACCGACTGCAATTTTTATTTAACCTGTCACCTCATAAAGAGAAAAAAAATCTCGCTAAACTTTCGCGTTGCTCACATAAAAGCCCACTATAATCTCACTTAACAGAAGTTCAGACGCATGGAATGAAAAAAATTGCTGGAAAACTATTAAAAACCATTTTGTGAAAAATCAACCTGTTATTGCCCTTGCTGCTTGTAGTATGATTACAAAAGGCGAATACCTATTGAATGTTATCATACACTTTGTCTAATTTCAGGCAGTTATTCCTGAGAATTGCTAGGCGGTGTATTTGAAGTCTAATTTATTTCGTACTGAATATACTGCAACAGGGGTCTCAAACTCGCGGCCCGCGGGATATTTGCGGCCCGAAAGACGATATAGTGCGGCCCGCTACATAACAGTAAAGTTTAGTGTTAATGCGGTCCACGAACTTTCCCCATTCTGATAACTATTATGTCACAGCCCGTGACGGTTTCAGTCGAATGTTACAGACTAGTCTCATTCTGATTTTTATTATGTTTATCTAGTTTTTTTTTAATGTTGATTATAATGGTAAAAACCGTTTTAAAAGGCGCCTAAAAGTTTTTATTTTATAGCATTTTATGAGACCAACATGGCCAATGTTCTGTTTTAAGCAAGTTTTAAATAGTCAGTTGGTGGGTAATGCACAACCATAATTGTGTAACATTTTATGAGACAAACATGGCCAATGTTCTGTTTTAAGCAAGTTTTTTAAAGTCAGTTTGTGGGTAATGCACAACCATAATTGTGTCAAATGTAGCACTCTGACACTTATCAAAGAATCCCTAATAGAATCGCCGCTAATGTTTACGAGTGAGGGAAATTCGGAGTCTGTCAGCTTTCAAAATTGGGTGAGTCAAAAAGGCCTTTATACGATAGCAATCAAAATTCATTCTCCCTAAAATAGCATCTTCTTTTGCATCAATGATTCATAAATATTGCATGCTCCTGCCTACTGTTTGCACACGTTTTAGCATTTAAAGCTGTCATGAAGAAGAATGGTGTGGTTGTACCTGTACTAAGTGATCCCAAACGGCTTATGGACATGGCTTTTCTTGCTGACATTACCCAGCAGCTGAATGTACTAAAAAAGAAGTTACAAGACTAGGTGTTGCTTGTCAGTGTTGCCTATGACTATGTCAGACCCCTCTGCACAAAACTTGTGTTGTGGTTCTTAGAGAAAACTTTGGCATTTTCAACATGCAAAGTACTCATGGACTCGGGCACACCCTTCAGTCGTAAGTATACTGATGACATTGCAAAGCTACAGGAAGACTTTGATCACAGGTTTACAGACTTCAAAACACACAGAGCCTCTTTTCAACTTTTTGCTGACCCTTTCTCCTTTAATGTGGAATATGCACCAACCCCACTTTTTGCGCTTCAAATGGAGCTGATTGATCGTCAGTGCAATTCTAAGTTCAGGGAGGTGAATGGAAAAACAGAAAAGCATGGACAATAATTTATGAGAGCATTTCCCTCCTTCCTTGAGAGTTCCAGGCTGTTTAAGTGGATCATGTGCCTTTCTTCGGGAGAACTGAATGTGTTAAAAGCTCTTTTCCACTATGAACTTTAACAAGTCAAAGTTAAGGGCCAAACTTATTGAAGAACATCTTCAAGGTATTCTTGGGGCGTCAGTTGCTTCCTCACAAAAGCAAAATGGTGCTCAGCAATTTAAGAAGAAGCGCTGCCAGGTCTCTGGCAACAAAGAGTAGGAGGAAGTAAGTGAAACCTAGTTCTTGAAAACCCTTAAAATTGTTGTCTGTTATTAATAAAGTTTGAGCAGATTGTAACAGTGTACTTTTTAAGATTGCTATCGTTTTTTTTGTGGAATACTTGATGTGGCCCAGTCTTACTCAGGCTTTACCTCCTGCGATCCCCAGATGATTTCAGTTTGAGACCCCTGGAATACAATGTATTTTCGACAAGGTGTAAGGGTTTATTGTCGTCAAAACATAAATATATACAATAGAAGTGTGGCATTTGTGTAGGCGTTCATTGTAGTCATAAATACATAGACTTTCTCAATAAAATGTTAATATATTTTTTTTTAAATGGGATTAAACTATAAGAAATCACTTCAAATAAAAACGAAATGTTTCTCTTCGGATTTTAAAGATTAAAAAAAATTAGAAGTTTTGATTCCATTTGTGAATGTCTATGGTAGAAATACAAAACCTTTAACTAAATTATCATATTAAATTCTTAGGTTGCACCACATGTTTCGTCGGTGATCTTGAAAGAAAAGTTGGAGGGGGGGGGAGCAAAATAGAAAATAAAGCAAAAGGGGGAAGAGAGGAAAGAATGGGAGGAGAGAGATAGAGATATAAAGGGACAGAGAGAGAAAAAGAGAGAAGTGGAGATAAAGCAGGCAGAGAATAAGACAGAGGAAATATAGATAAATATGGCAGAGAGCAAAAGAGCGAGAAAGGAGAATGTGCTAGAGTTGCGTAACTTATTTGTTCCTGTTCACGTAGGTCGCAGGTGACATAACTCAAAATACTACTTTCTACCATCATACTGTACAGCGTTTAACTCCCTTCTCTTATTGTTCTAGACATGTGCAGTATTTAAAACAGCGTAACTTGGATTGTAAAACGTAACAATAGTTTGTTAGACAACCGTATTGTGGATTGAGCACCGTAACAATCAGTATGTTAGACAACCGTAGTGTGGATTGAGGTCCTAACAATCAGTACGTCAGACAACGGTAGTGTTGATTGAGCACCGTAACATTCAGTATGTTAGTCAACCGTTGTTGTTGTTGTTCGTCTGTCGAAGTCGACTTGGCACATCGAGTCATCCTGTAAGGGGGAGGGTGGGTTACGGTGAGCTCGTAGGTGGCTTGCTAGACCGATCCTTGTTCGGAATAATCTCTGGCACCGCGGGCATGGGATAGTTGCTGCAGACGGTGACCTAATGTTGCTCTTTCGGACAAGCCTGCGTGTCTCAGCTGTAGTTATACTATTAGCTGTGTGGGATTTAGCCCCCTTCTTGACAGCTGTCCTCCACCTGGCTCTGTCCTGGGCTGTCTGCACCCATTGAGTAGGGTTGATGCTGAAGGCCTTTAGTGTTACTTTCAGTGAGTCTTTGTAACGCTTTTTTTTTGACCTCCTTGGGAGGGCTTGCCTGTCATGAGTTCTCCGAAGAAATCAACATTCAGTTTGAAATAGCAGTCATGGATGAAATGAAATATGTAAGAAATCAACCTTCAGTTTGAAATAGCAGTCATGGATGAAATGAAATATGTAAGAAATCAACATTCAGGTTGAAGAAGCTGTCATACATACATAGAAAATAAAGTAAGTGATTAATGTCTTTCGGTGTGTACGGGAGGTCAAAAGCAGGGCGGAAGTGGATAACTTGAAAAGACCAACAACAGCAAAAATAATAATAATAGAAGACAACAAAAAGAAACAAGCAAACAAACAGCAAAGAACTCGCCATCCTGAATGCATTGTTTGCAAACGAAAAGATGACCAGGAGAATATGACCGGTAAAATAGTAAATTGAAACGAGTTTGTATGAAATTAAAACAAAACACTGCTCGCAGCAAGTAGACATTCACTGGCGCCGAGTTGATTGGATGTAAACGGGAAAGCCGTCGGAGAAGGATCTTAGCGCTGACATCGCGGTGATGGCATGAACGCGTTTTTTTCTTTTCTTTCTCTACCTGGAAAAACTCAATCTCCTCCAATGGTGGGTGACCAGCCCAGTGTTTCCAGTATGCTGCCAGCACTTGAGGGGTTTCTGTAGTGGTTCAGGACAAAGCGTGCTGCCCGTCGCTGGACCGCCTCCAACCTGTCGATGATCTTCTAGGTGAATTGGTCCCAAGTTGAAGATGTGTATGTTTTTTTTTTACCACATGTGGTCTGTTTTAATTATTACAGCAACTGACGTGCTGTCCGATTTCATTCTTATTTATTCACGAATTGCATAAATGCCGTCATAGTTCACAAAACAGCATCATAGTACACAAAGTGGTATCATGGTACACAAAGTGGTATCATGGTACACAAATCCAAGAAATAGCTAACAACAAATGGATGATCGTTAAACTCTCAGACGACTAACACTCCAGTCCGTCTTCGCGACACTTCTCTCTCAGTCTCACGCCTTATACCTACACACTTGTTTATTATTCTATTCCTGTGATCCATTGATCATTCGGACACAATACTATCACTCATGACCCAACTCTCGGGACCAAGCAGCGTCCATGCTGTCGACACTGTTTCTCCTACCACTGACAGTCCGTGTGCCGAATCGGCGTACGAATCTCATTCATTGAGCACACCTTAGCAGGTGATTGCGTAGGCAAAATTGAAACTTTTTTAAATTAAAAACAAAGATCCGACTACCAAAGATTGTTACCTCTGGGTGAATAGTTGCGTTCCTGTTGTTTTTCGGTGTTGCTTTGTCCGCGTGGCATGGACCGTCTAAGGCAGATGGTGGTCAGCTGACACAATACCCTTTGCACTTATATTTGGTAAAGTATAAACTAGTTTCGAGAGGGGAAAAGGCACACTTCATCAACTCAACTAAAAGGGAGCTTATTTAAATCATGAATGAGGACTCTTGAAACTGTCAGACAATAAATATTAAGACAATGTAAGTGTACGAGTTGTCCAGCTTTTTAATGGCATTAATTGCTATGCAAGTAAGTGTCTTCGCCATGACTGACACTCCCCACCCCTATTTGTTTCGTTCCCCAATTCCGCACTTGCAAATAAAAAATAGTAATTTTTATTTAGGCGCCTGTTCGACGGCGTCACGACATAGTGGCTACAAGAACAGAGCCCAGTCCCAAAGGGAGAGGCGTGTGTAGGGTTTGTGGTGGCGGTGAGGCATGTCACTCGTAGTTTCAATGTTTAGTCACTCGTTCACAAGGCGCAATGCAGATTAGCTCAGCGGGGACTTTGTTTGAATTAATTAAAACCGTTCTTTGCGTAATGGTAAAGGTAGGGTCTATGAAACAACTCCACTCAGGGTTCAGTCCATTGAAATCCTATAGACGAAAATGTACAAATTTGACATATTACATAACAAGCTTGTGTGTTATTTTGTTTAATCTATGCCATGGCTGGCTGGTTCATGAAGTGAACCATGTGACACAAACCGTTTATTCAACTGTATGCACCGTACGAAACTGAGCAAGTTTTAATAATAAATAACATTTTCCGATTGTTCTGGTTGGAGAGCTGCCAATGATTAAAAAATGTTGATGTGTTTAAAAGTATTATTTATTTATTTATTAAATTGCAAATGAAAAAGACTTGAGATACTATTCTTTAAATTTTTTATTGCTTAGCTGATTTTTTTCCTCAGGGGGTAAATGTGATTAACATCGTCATTCCTCCTGACCTAAAGATGCTTCTTGGAAAGTTTGGTCAAAATCTCCTTATCCCAACAAAAGCTGTAATTTTCTGTTTAATCAGAAAGTGTAGAGGACAAAGAGTACAAAATAAATTTGATTTTTATATTGAATGACAAGTACCGTCATAAATCATAATATTCGTAAATGTATGCAAACAGACATCATATAAACATAACAGCAAAAATGGCATAGGCGTGTTGTAAAAATAAAAAAAAAAATTTTTTTAAATTACTCTCAAGATGTAATGACTTGAATTTGAAAATTGCTATTAAATAATTAAAACATTACTTTCATAGCATCCCAGTGCATTTATCCAGCCTTGGCAAATTGTTTAAAAGCCATGCTTCAACATATCTGTATGAAATATAAACTGTGTGTCAAAAATCTTGTTAATATTATTATAGTTGTATTAGTCTCCTGTTACACAACAATCATCATATATGTTTAAGTGAATTGTACTTCTCATAATAAAAAACGAATAATTCCAGATCTAGTACTTTTTTTGTGTGTGTTTTGTTAAGAAGTAAAATAAGTTAATGAAAGAAATTGTAGCGTAAACTAACAATGAAAGAAACGCATACAATTTGAATAGAGAATTATAAATTAATTCAGTGTTACAGTCAAGGAATATCTTAATACACCATCCCCTGTTTGTCTTAAGCACAGTAAATGGTGGCTATGATCGCTCAATGTGGGCGATAGCTTTTCAAACCAGTCCTAAATCACCTTTTTTTTTTTTTTAACAAATACTTTTTTAACTACGCCCACAACTATCTCCGAGCTGTGCGATTGATGTCAAACATATACAGATTTTAGAAATTAAAATAATTCACCAATCCTATGTTAAACGCCTGTAAAACGACTCAAATGATCACACCTCTTGTAAAGATGTGATGTGCCGACACGAATCAGCCAATTATCGATAAGTTGAAACATTAGGCACAGGTGCATCAGGTCCAAGTACGCAAACCTCCACCTCATAGTGCTCAAGACCTTGAAATTGGTCATTAGAGTTGGTGGTAATCATTTTCTGGAATAAAGTATAAGCGTTTTAGTTTCCCATTTTAATGGCAACAAAATTATCCGTTTAGCTGAGTATCTGGGTCAATTAGATACAATTTCTTATTGGAAATCCACGTGTATCGCTTGGGCGATGGAACAGCTATTAAACATCTAGTGGGTTAACTGAATACGGGAATCGCTAAAACGTTATATTGACTAGGCGACAGAAAATATTGAAAACGCCCTCTTCTCATCTATTAGACTTGATGGCTTTTTAAAAAATTAAAATAATAAAGTAAAACAAAAAGTAACATTTTAAAAAGGGATTATAATAAGCCATGGGTTGCTGTAATGATTGAGATGTGTGGACGGGATGGTAGGCGAGGAAGTCTATGATGGAACTGATTACCGACGACATCCTCAACACGTCCGTTCAGGCCAATTTCGTCGTCCTCCCAGCGGTCATCGGCCTCCTCGGCATCGCGTTTAACTTCGTCATCGTCGCCGTCTTCGTGAAGCTCGGCTTCTCGGACACCACCAACATATCGCTCCTGAGCCTGGCGCTGGCTGACATCGGCGTGCTCTTGACCATGGTCGGCTACAGCGTCATCTACAACCCGGTCGTCCTCGCCGTGACCCCGTCGGGGGTCATGGACGCCGTCGGATACGCTGTTATGGGGACCTCCCACGTCATGTTCTGCCGGATAGCCGGCTGCCTGACGGCGTTTATAACGGTCGAGAGGTTTATCTGCATCGCGTGGCCGTTGCACGTCAAGTCCATCGTCACGCCCGGGAGAACAACGTTCACCGTCGTCGCCATCTACGTCTTCATGGTGTCCTGTACGGTTCCAACCATCATCGCCAACCAGATCGGACCGAGGTTTGACCCGCAGCTCAACACGACGGTGGTCGGGCTGGTCCTGTCCGCGAACGCCGACCAGCTGGAGAACTTCACCCTCGTCGTGGACATCATAGCCCAGGTGACGTCCTTCGTCCTGGTCACGCTGTCCACCCTCGGGCTGATCAGGTCGCTGCTCAAGATCGCCAAGTGGAGGCGGTCCACCTCGACGTCCTCGCAAGCAGCTGCGAACGTGTCCGGTCGGGACAAGCAACTGGTCAAGATGATCGTGCTGATCTCGACGGTCTTCATCGTCTGCTCGCTCCCTACCGTAGTGGGTAACCTGGTCATGATCTTCTCCAAGGATTTCAACATCAAGGGCGGAAATAAAAACCTGTTTCTCTTCGTCTGCGGCTTCTTCTTCCTCCTCGACTCCATCAACTCCACCGTCAACATTTTCATCTACATAAAGATGAGCACCAAGTTTAGGGATGTTCTCTTATCGTTCGTGTGTGTTGTCAAAGAAAAGGTAGATAAGAGGGCTGATAAGAGCGTAGATAAGAGCGTTGATAAGATATAACATTTGTAGATTTTACCAAACTATATTTATATTCTTTTTTATGTGCGCATTGGACCTTCAGAATTTGAATATTGCACAAGATGCGTGGTGTTGTACAAACCCAAATACTTTAAAAAGGTTATTCTATTTTATTTTTAAACAGACAATATAATAACACGTACAGACTTTTGTTCATATATTTTTGCCAGATACTCACAGAGTTACAAACAATGGTTAAACTTCATATTAAAAATGCCATGGAAAGATACTTACATTCTGCCTTATTTTTAGAATGAAATATTTATTAATTTTTTTCTAAAAACGATTCATGATTTTTTTTCTTTAGAATGCTGACTATATATATTTTTTTATTGTTTTCCTAGATTGATGCACATATTTTTATTTATAGAAGGATGCATACATTTTAATTATTTATTGATGCATATATTTGTTTCTTAGAATGATAAATATATTTTGTTTCATAGTATGATACATATATTTGTTTAAAGGAGGATACATATATTTGTTTTATAGAATGATCTATATATGTTTCTTAGAATGATAAATATATTTTGTTTCATAGTATGATACATATATTTGTTTAAAGGAGGATACATATATTTGTTTTATAGAATGATCTATATATATATATATATATATATATATATATATATATATATATATATATATATATATATATATATATATATGTTTGTTTCATAGTATGATGGATATATTTGTTTCATAGAATGATACTATAGCACATTTTTTTCCTACCTCATTACCGAAGACTTTATTCACCGTTGTTCTGTTCAAGCATCTGCCAGTTCTACTTTCCGTCACACGATGTTCATGTTTAAAATGCCATGAAGTAGTTGACGACTGGTGCACACGTCGTTCTCTGTAGCAGGGGCTAATTTCTAGATGTATCAATTAATGAACAATACTATGTTTTAAAGGAGTACAACCCGTGGTGTCGCCTTCGGTGGTTAAAATATGAAAAGACCGCTTATTTCTTCATAAAATTTTATTTAACACAAGTGTTTCATGATTTATATATAGATCAGAAAGTTGTACTTTTCATTCTCCCCAATAATGATACATTTCATAACGGTCAGATGTCAATGACATTAGCACTCGTCACAATGGTCTCATGAAATAAGCAAAGCTATCTTACGCACCATGCACAGGAAAGACTTTATACTGTGTGCACCAATCAAAACTTACATTAAACTTTCATGACCGACCAAGCCGCAGCCCAAAGTCATGATTTGTTTGTTTGTGGGTAAAGCTGATATCAGGAGAAAACATGGATTTGGCTAACGTAGATCTCAGAATCCAGACATTCCCTAAGATCTGAAAACGTAAACCTCTGAGTCCAGACACTCCCCAAGTTCTGAAAACGTAGATCTCCGAGTCCAGACATTCCCCAAGATCTGAAAACGTAGATCTCCGAGTCCAGACATTCCCCAAGATCTGAAAACGTAGATCTCCGAGTCCAGACATTCCCCAAGATCTGAAAACGTAGATCTCCGAGTCCAGACATTCCCCAAGATCTGAAAACGTAGATCTCCGAGTCCAGACATTCCCCAAGATCTGAAAACGTAGATCTCCGAGTCCAGACATTCCCCAAGATCTGAAAACGTAGATCTCCGAGTCCAGACATTCCCCAAGTTCTGAAAACGTAGATCTCCGAGTCCAGACATTCCCCAAGATCTCAAAACGTAGATCTCCGAGTCCAGACATTCCCCAAGATCTGAAAACGTAGATCTCCGAGTCCAGACATTCCCCAAGATCTCAAAACGTAGATCTCCGAATCCATACATTCCCCAAGTACCAAAATCCCTTTCTTCCACCCTACACAACCCCAGGAACACATCTACCAAAAATAAAAATAAAACATTTCAAATATTCTTCAAAAAATCCCACACCTCATCACTAATTACATGCAACATGAAGGTTCTACCACTTGTACTATAGAATAACTATTACAAAAATAAGGATTCATTTCTTTACTCACTTTAATTTCGGACATTATGTTTTTCTGACTCGCTAATTACACGTGAATGTATGAGCCCCCGCGTTTAGGATTAGATATAGTTATTAGTTTTCTTTTATTAAATCCTTAATATTAACTTCGCTTTTGTTCGTGTGTTTCGGGCTGGAAAAATCTTCAGACGGCTTCTGGACCCACTTCCCGCCAACCTATCGTCTTGTCGCCGATGTCAAACCATTTCTTCTTTTCAAATTTTCAGCTCCGTCCCACAACCCCGGACCAACCCCGACCCCCACCAAAGTCATTTTTTAATGCTTTTAATGGGAAGATGGAAGAAGGTATGATGCCAGATTTCACGAAATAAAATTCAGTATAAATATGCTTTAAAAAAAATATATATATATATATTAATAAAGCAAATCGTTTGGTCCGTAATATTTTCTTTTGATTTTCTGACATAGTTGGTGAAATAAATATGCGGTTTAAAAGCGGGTGGGGCATTGGAACATTATTATCAAATAAAATAAATTAAAAATGCATATAAGAGATTTAAGCGAACATCTTTGTTTTCAGTTGTTTAATGTATTATAAAATAAAGTGATTGTCTCATTTAATTTTGCCTTATTTTTCTGACGCAAAATCAATTTCAGACACTCATTTTTATTACGTTATCAAATGCAACTGCAGTTTAATATGCAAACGAGATCAAACCAGTTTCAACCAGGCATATTTTGTCACAGACCTACATGGAACCAGACGCAGCGTGATAGTGCTCACACTTACCTGGACCCAAACGCTGCAGAGATCAGCCCCATTTTGAGGTCAAAGGGAATGCATCACCACATTAGGAACTGTCTCTCCGTCGAGGCTCGAGGCTAGCTACTGGTCAATACTTGAATCAACGGTTTATTTGATACTCTGTTCCCAACAACCCCCCACTCTTACAGACAAATACTAAGCATTATTTATTGTACACGCTTTATGGGTCGGGGTTGTTACATCATTGTGTTGGCTAGACTTGCGTTTTTATTCTTTTACTCCTTCAATTCAACAGCTGTAATTATATGAACTGACAGTTTAGTTCAAAATTCAGTTTGAAAATTTACCCCGAAAAATTAGTTTTAATAGCTTTAAATATTACAGTGATGTTTTATGTATCTGTTAAAAATTAATGACATATCACGCCTGTACTCAAAAAAAAAAAAAATCAGGTTTGTGTAACAATGCTAAAATTCTTAGCATCGATCAAGTCGAAAAAAAAGACGTGCACAGGAATGTAGCTTGTCATTATATCAAAAATCATTGCAGACTTAACTTACCAAGTGATCAAAGGCAGCAATCTTGTTTGGTCCGGACACTATATTTACCAGTGTTTATTTGTGCATAGTAAATCTTGTATTATAGCTGTAACCCAGATTCGTAATAGAACGGATTTGTGTTTAACGGTTAAATTGTATCGTCTAAAATGATATTGGTCAAATAAGAACTTATAAATTAAAGTCGACCTCGACACATTCCGGGTATGGCGCCTTCCAGAGAATGTTGTGAACGTGAAAGAGCACAAACAAAATGAAACAGTGGTGGTAGCGCCCCACGGCACCCCACCATTAGGATGACTAATGCACACTCGCCATTATAATGAATGGACGGACACGAATCTTTCACCGATATTATATTATTAAAAATTACAACATATACAATGTCTTAGAAGATTTAATTGGTGTCTTTGTAGCCTGTCGAATGGCACTTACTAACTATAAGTCAGCATAACAAAATATCGATACAAGAAACACACTACCCCCCCCCCTTCCCCCCCCCCCTGTCGAAAACCAGCTGAAATATTAATTGCATACTTTAATTATTTTTGTTTTTAAATTTTAAAAATATAATATTTATTTTTTTAAAGCAAAATTAATTTTATACTCTCCCCCATGTAATTTTATCGACACTTCATTAAATGGGAGAGGGCCTTGCATAAATAAAATACATCCATATTCCGTTCCTAAGTTCACGGAAGCAATATCAAGTTTTTCATCAATGTTCTGTGTAGCCCTTTTAAATAGTTTACAAACACGAAATGATAAAGTCACGTAAATTAACTCGATCTCCCACCAGTTCAGTCTAGTTACCATAAATTCTAAATCATTATTGTTGCAATTCGATGTAGTGTGTCATTAAATGGTAGGGGAATTCGGTATTTGTGAAGGATTTGTGAATTTTAAACAGATGTTTCTGAGATTGTTTAGGGTGGCAAAAGGTATTTTTTCACATGGGAAATGTCTGGATCCACGCTCGTGTTTTTTCTTATAGAAGCGTTACAAAGAAATTTTTAAAAAAGTCTATTTTGCTCTGCGTCTAGGTCAGTGATAAAAACTTATGTCATACGTTATTGGTGCACACAACTGAACGTATTCCCTGTGCGCGGTGCGTAAGACAGCGTCTCTCACTTGATGAGAACATTGGGTCAAGGGTTAATTTACCTGGCGTCTTGAACGTTGAGAAAAGTGTTATTATTGAACAGCCATTCATACACCAAGATGTGCAATCTGCTTCCAAAATTTGGCACCACATCTATGAATCATAAAACACTCCTATTACTGCCAAAAGAGTTCCCCTCTGCCTTAGTAAAATTGTGATTGTAGCCGCATAACATAACAAATTAATAACATCTGAAGTAGGTAGCAGTATATTATTGTTTTGTTTTTTTTAACTTTGAATAAAACTGGACATTCTAAGGAAAAAAATAGTTTTCCAATTTAATTTAATATGGTTTTTAATAACATTACCAGCGAAAAAATTTACGATATAATAGTAAAATAATCAATTATCACTTTAATATCTGAGTCGTTTTGACTTTTAAAAAGGAATGCATTGTTTTAGAGATCTGTTCATGTTAATAAAATTTCCCGAAAAATTCTCTTGCACTTTTTAAAAGAGTTTTTTAAAGACACTTTCACAATCAGCTAATGTTTCG